ACTTTTTTACTCGCAATACTGAATTTACATCACGCAATTCTGATTTTTTCTCGCAATACTGAATTTACATCACGCAATTCTGAATTTTTTCTCGTAAAACTGAAATTTACATCTCGCAACTCTCATTTTTTCTCGTAAAACTGAATTTACATCTCGCAATTCTCACTTTTATTCCTAGTAATACTGAATTTACATCTCGCAATTCTTACTTTTTTACTCGCAATCCTGAATTTACATCACGCAATTCTGAATTTTTTCTCGCAATACTGAATTTAAATCACGCAATTCCGAATTTTTTCTCGTAAAACTGAAATTCACATCTCGCAACTCTCATTTTTTCTCGTAATACTGAATTTACATCTCGCAATTCTCACTTTTATTCCTAGTAAAACTGAATTTACATCTCGCAATTCTGACTTTTTATTCTCGTAATACTGAGTTTACATCTCGCAATTCTTACTTTTTTTCATTTACATCTCGCAATTCTTACTTTTTTACTCGCAATACTGAATTTACATCACGCAATTCTGAATTTTTTCTCGCAATACTGAATTTACATCACGCAATTCTGAATTTTTTCTCGCAATACTGAATTTACATCACGCAATTCTGAATTTTTTCTCGTAAAACTGAAATTTACATCTCGCAACTCTCATTTTTTCTCGTAATACTGAATTTACATCTCGCAATTCTCACTTTTATTCCTAGTAATACTGAATTTACATCTCGCAATTCTTACTTTTTTACTCGCAATCCTGAATTTACATCACGCAATTCTGAATTTTTTCTCGCAATACTGAATTTACATCACGCAATTCTGAATTTTTTCTCGTAATACTGAATTTACATCTCGCAACTCTCATTTTTTCTCGTAATACTGAATTTACATCTCGCAATTCTCACTTTTATTCCTAGTAATACTGAATTTACATCTCGCAATTCTGACTTTTTATTCTTGTAAAACTGAGTTTACATCTCGCAATTCTGAATTATTTTCTCATAATACTGAATTTCGAGATGTTTTATTCTGTTTATTCTGTTCACTGAATTTACTTCCAAGCAATTCTGACTTTTTTCCTCGTAAAACTGAGTTTACATCTCGCAATTCTGAATTATTTTCTCATAATACTGAATTTACATCTCGAATACTGAATTTTTCCTCGTAAAACTGAATTTACATCCAGCAATTCTGACTTTTTTTCCCGTAATACTGAATTTACTTCAAGCAATTCTGACTTTTTTCTCATAATACTAAATTTACATCTTGAATACTTATTTTTTCCCCCTCACAATTCTGACTAATTTTCTCGTAATACTGAATTTACATCCAGCAATTCTAACTTTGTTTCTCTTTTCTCGTAATACTGAATTTACATCTCGCTTCTCGTAACTCTAAATTTACATCTCACAATTCTGACTTTTTTTCTCATAATACTGAATTTACATATCAATTTTTTTTCTTGTAATAACTGAATTTACATCTTGCAATTCAAACTTATTTTCTCGTCATACTGAGTTTAAATTCAGATATTTTTTTTTTTTTTTTACTTTTCTTGTGTACAGTCTTCTCAACTTTGTGTTAAAAAGGTCAATTACCTTTTTTGTTCCATGGCAGAAATAAGCTTTCATACACCAGAACCCACTTCACCGCATCACAGCAGGATTCCCAGGCCAAGCTCCCAAACGCACAGCAAAAACACCAACACTTGCGCTTTGATTAACGGATCACTGTTTGAACACACAGGCTCACAGTGCAGATGTCCAAAGACTGTGAAGATTAAGTTGTGTCCAGGATTAGTTTAGACCAACTGAAGAACACACTGACAGATGGTGTAACACAGCTCAGAAATAAAGAACAACAAAAAGCTGAGAGGGTTATAAAGTTATGAAATAACAAAAGATAGCAGAATAAAGGTGTAAAAAAAACATTGTAGAACGAATAGTACAAATTAAATAAATGAAGTAAAAAAGTAATAAAAGTAATTAAAAAAATGAAACATCCACTTGGTGGCGCTGCAGGGGCACTTTGAGTAAATCACCATTTTTATGCAAGTCAATGGGGTTTGAAACTACACAAATGTGAGCAAATAAGAAAATATTAGTTTGACTAAACAATCCCATTAAACAACTATTTCTTGGATTTTCAGTCAGTAAAGAGTCTCAACAGGCCTCACTGTGATTGGCTACAACGCTGCAAATACAAATGTGTAGATGTTGTGTTTGCGCTCTCTTCAGAGTACAGTAATGCCATGAATCATATTTAACAACATGTTCATAGTTTATGTTTGTTTTTTCTCAAAACAGACGAGCTTCTGGGAACTAGCGACGCCACGATCATGGACGTGTAATTACTAGTGACATCACAGCGACTTCATCATCAGCATCAATATTTACTTCAGTTAATGACCATGTGCTTTGTGAGGGATCAGGCATGAAGCATTATGAAATATGTTACATAACATACTTAAAATGACATTCATATTTCATGCTTATTGAAGCACATCAGCCTCTCTGTAAATGTGATGAGTGTGTATATTTTTTTAATGCACATTATAAACTAAACTTTAAGCTTATAGAACATAGTAAATGCAACTCATTTTATATTCTGAATTTATATCGTATTCTGAAAATGCCAAATCTGTACAACAGTAAATTAGTAAGTCACAAAATAAAAGTAAAATGTAAATAAATCAGGGGTGATGTTTATTCTGTTCATCAGTATTGGGTATCACCATGGTAACTGTTGTCATAACCCCAAAATGCCACTATTTTCACTTTTTTGTTATTATATATTTTTTAAATGACTGGTGGCTCATACCAACATTGTATAAACAAAAATTATTTTGGGACTGTTATTTCATAGCTTAACCTCATAGGTTATTATTATAATATATTATTTTTCAATATTAGTCATCATATTCTTACAATTTGTGTGTATGTTAAGTAAAGGGGGACAGTACTTTGTGTGTGTGTGTATGTGTCATTAAAGCCATTCAAAACATTATTCAATATAAATTGTGATAGTATTAATTAATAATTACAATTTCAAGGGAATAATCAACAATTATGATTTCAGTCATAATCGTGCAGCTAAACAGTTAAACAGACAAACATTGCTAACTTTACAATAAGGTCCATTAGTAAACATTACTTATTAACTAACAATAGGGGCTTTCGCACAGGAGGAACCGATTCATAGTTCCTGGAAGTTAATGTTGAAAATACTTGCTTTATTTTGGTGTGTTTGCGTCGCAGGAACTGGCAACGGGTTTAGTTATAAGAACTGTTTTAGACTAGAGGAACTAAATAAGATCCTACTTCAGAGTCGGGTCTAACACACCACAAATAAACCATTAGTGTCATATGTCTCTTAGTTTTTATATAGAGGTGAAACTCAAAGATTAGAACATCATGCAAAAGTTAACTCCAGTAATTCAACTTAAAGGTGAAACAAATATTTTATATAGACTCATTACATGCAAAGTGAGATATTTCAAGCCTTTATTTGTTATAATTTCCATGATTGACTTACAGCTTATGAAATTTCTAAATTAGAATATTGTGAAAATGTTTATCTGTAATCCATAATCATCAAAAATATAACAAATAAAGGCTAGAAATATCTCACTTTGCATGTAATGAGTCTATATTAGAGCCAGACCGATATTATCGGCCGATATTAGGCATTTTCCAAAATATCGGTATCGGCAGTTATAATGGCCGATAAATGAATATTTCAAAAATAAAATAAAAACAGACGAAACACGCTTCAATCATCTCTCCTTGGCCTGTTATATTGAAAATGTATGTTTTACAATTTGCAGTATGACGTTATCTATAGATAACATATAGATAGCAATAGATAACATCATACTGCAAATTGTAAAACATATATTTTCAATATAACAGGCCAAGGAGAGATGATTGAAGCGTGTTTCGTCCGTTTTTATTTTATTTTTGAAATATTCATTTATCGGCCATTATAACTACCGATACCGATATTATGGAAAATGCCTAATATCTGCCAATAATATCGGTCTGGCTCTAGAAGTAAGGCAGAAATGCGCAGATTCTGCACAATATGCTGTATTTAATATATCATGAGGGTCACGAGTTGTGTATTTGCGCTAAAATCCACGCAGATTTGGCTTACACGAACTTCCCTTGCAAAGTGAGGACATAGAAACAATCTCATAATAATCTCAATCCCTGAATGTTGCACTCCTGTTTGTCACGAAACTTCACGCCAATAAACCATCAGAAAAATTGTGAACCGAGCGTCTCAAGCGCCCTCTTTACGCTCATTCTAATGCCTGTTAGGTGTCCGTGGATTTGCCTGTATTTG